AACCTATCATCAAATGAAAGACAGAGTAGGCAAAACAAGTCCTTTTCTCTCTCCTCTTTACTTTTCTCAAAGTCCAGAATCTGATTGGCACCTTTTACATTTTCATAATGTCTAGAAACTGACGGGTTCTCCTTCATAGAACCTAACTGACACCTTTACATTTTTTAAAGTCCAGAATCTGACTGGTGTGTTCACTTTCATTGAAAGTCCATGACCTGACTGACACATTTACTTTCATTAAAGTCCAGAATCTGACTGACATCTTTACTTTCTCAGAAGTCTAGAACCTGACTGGCACCTTTACATTTTCTAAAATCCAGAACCTGACTGGCACCTTTACGTTTTTCAAAGTTTAGAATCTGACTGGCACCTATACATTTTTCTAAAGTTCAGAACCTGACTGATACCTTTACATTTATCAAAGTCCAGAATCTGACTGACACCTTTACATATTTCAAAAGTCTAGAATCTGACTAGCACCTTCACTTTTAAAGTTTCCAAAGTCCAGAATCTGACTAGCACTTTTTACATTTTCACAATGTCTAGAACTTGACTGGTTCTCCTTCACAAAACCTATCTCGTATATAATACTTGTGTTACACAGGACCACAGATAAAATTAATTCACTTCTTTACTTATTTCTTACTATAATAATATGAAAATTTTATTATTCATATTATTTAGTAAAAAATAATTAAAGAGAGATAATTGTGAATACCCAATTTTATCCGCGTCCCTGTCACAAATAAATTTCAAAACAAAAAAATTAAATATAATAATTTCTTTTTTTAAGAGGTTAAGAAAATAGATAAAAAAACTAATTTAAAATTTAAATTCAAATTTTCAATTTTTAAATGTGAAATCAGATTTAAAAATGGTCAAAGTAGTTAGTAGATTTTTAAGAAAATAGATAAAAAAGAAAAAAAAATTGATTACTGGTCATTAAAAAATAAGGGAGCCTTTATTAGGATCTACGCTTTTAGAAAATGCCTATAAATAGGAAGCTTAAGTCTTCAGAGAGGGGGACTTTGGAGGTGGACACCTTTTATTTTTATGAGACCTCTTTGAGAGAGAATTCTAGAGAGAGCCTAGGAAACAAAGAGTAAAAGAAGGACAAGAGATTAGAGAAAACTATCTAGCAGCGTCAAAAATCCTAAAACACATCTCGAGATCGTTTACAAAGAATAAATCGAAGAAGGAGACATACAACCATGAGAGGAAAAAGAAAAATTTTCATCAAGTAAGTGTTCTTCATTTTATTCTTTGATTTGTTTCTCATCCTCCCTTTGTCTAATAAAATTTTTTCCGCTTTTTATCTAATAAAAATCCTCCTTTATTCATTTCTCATCCTTCCTATATTTATTAAGGATTCTCCTTCTTTATTTATTTTTTTTATACGTTCTTCTCTTCTTCTTCATGATTTAACCTTTTTTGCAAGTGTAATAAATAAATAAAAAGAGAAAATTTAATAAAATTTTATTTTTTTTATTTTTTTTTATAAATTCTAATAATTTTTCTAATCCTAAATTACTTCTCACTCAGTCACATCCTAAAAAATATAAAATAAAAAATCTAAATCCATAAAAATTAATTTTTTTTCACTAAATCTAAGTATTACTTTTTTGCAAACCCTAAAAATAAACTATTTTTTTTTCTAACTAATGTTTTTTTTTTTTGCAAACCCTAAAAAGAATATTTGTTTTTCTAACCCAAAATCATTTAATCTTTTCTTAACACTTTATTTTTTATTTTCTATTTTTAAAATTTTTTTAAACTAAGATTAATTTCTAGCACATTTTTTTATAAAAATAAAAAAAATGAAAATTTTATTTTATTTTAAAAAATAGAAAATAGAAAATAAAAAATAAAGTGTTAAGATAAGTGTTTTTACTATATATTTCTTTAATACAAAAAATGAAGAAAAGAATAATATTTTTATAAATAATTCATTCCTTTAATTCAAATAATTTTTATTGTATTTCCTCATTTTAAAAAAATAAAATTAAAATCTCTCAAAAAAATTGTAAAAATTAGAAATAAATCTAAAAAGAATAATAATAACAAATTTGAAAATAGTAAAAAAAAATATGAATTAGTTTCTTTTAGAATGAAATAAATATTTTTAAAGTTAAAATAAAATTTTACACAATTAATTAGAAGGTAACCATTTTAACACGTCGTAAGGTGCTAATACTTTCCTACACGTAAACGACTCCCGAGTTCAAATCTAGTTTCAAATATTTTTTTAATTAAAATTTTTTTCAATATTTTTTTTAATAAACTTTGATGGCGACTCCTTGTTATCGCTGTCATGTTGTGACCCCGAGTGCGACCATCATCCTTTTCATATGTTGACCAAATACTACAAAAAAGTTAAAATATCATCTTTTTAAAAAAAGAACTATTTTTTTATAAACCTTGCATATTTTATTGTATCTATTTTCTTATCATTATTATTACAACTACTACTCATTTTCCTTAAATCCAATGAGACTTTAATCTACCAAACGGATATTAAAACAGATAGGCTATTGGTTGAAAGCGACTGATACAGAATAACGAAGAATATACAACTTTGTTTGGGATAGTTGAAGGGCTTTATAAAGGCTATTAAGTTTTTCGGTCCATGGCCATGCATCAAATCCAACAAAATATATCTTCCTAATACATGTAGGGCCACTAAAGTTTAACCCAACAAAAGACATTGGTCTTTTAAGTTTGTTTTCTCCTCTCCGCCTTTTTATTTTTGTCACTAACATTGGCCTTTTTGATAGTAGATAGTTCCGTATTGACCAAGAAAAAGTGCAAAAGTAGATATCGACAAAGAAAGAAAAATGAAACGTACAAAAGTGGAATGAATATCCATTTTAACTTTTTAAATTATAAGTATTCATTATTTTAATTTTTAATTTTATAAAAATTGTTAATGTTTTAACAAATATTTTTTTAGTTTTTCTAAATTTTATTGAAAAAACAAAATGTACATTGTTTATGAGAAAATATTTGGGTTACCATGTGCATATTTTTCATGAAAGGAACAAGAAAATTTAAAATGTAAGAATATATATATATATATATATATATATATATATCTTTAAATGAAAATACTAGTTATATATTATTTTAAATATAAAAATAAAATTAGTTATACTAACGTAATAATATATGATTAAATATTTTAAATAGTAAATATGATGCTCATATAATATATTCTTTTATTAACTTTGAAAGATAAAGGCCAAGATTCATTACATAAAGATAATGTTATCATAGTTATATTATTACATGTTTATGCACAATTAATTATAAATCATATTGCCAAGATATTATAGGTTTTTAAAGAATTCTTATTATTATATAGTTTGAAAAATATGTAAATTACATTAATTATATAATTTATGACAAAACATTGAATGAATTACTTTAACATAGTCAGCTTTGATATATTTAATTTTTAATTATAACCTTACTAAAAGATCAGCAATAATAATAATAATAATAATAATAATAATTAGTAGTAGTGATCATCATAAAAAATGCATTTAATATTTAAAGTATTATATATAATAAAATAATAATAAAATTAATAAAAACTTGCATATATTTTATATTTTTAAGTAATATTTTTACTTTTAAATAAACTTATGCAAACAAATAATATTATACCTAATATTATTTATAAAAATGAATATTCGAGTAACATTGAATTAAGGTTCATGATAATTTGGAATAAAGATTACACTGTTCAATTTACTTATTGTTACATTTGTAATTACTTAATTACATGTAACATTTTAGAATTGTGTCTAGTGTAGGTATTACGCAAAATTTAGAAGGTCAGTGCACCGAAGAAAGTAGTAATTTACATGTGACATATGTTGTTTAATGCAATTACAATAATGAAGAATTTAATTATACGTGAATTGATGATTTCTTCCAAAGCTTGTAGATTTTAAGGTACCAAAGATGAGAAAATATTGCATCTTTTTTTGCATTGCAATGCTTTTATAAGACTGTGGTACATGGTGTTTAAATGATTTGATGTCAGTATATACTTATCTGAAAATTTGCATAAGACACTATTAAGTATGTGTGGAATTTAATGTAGAAAAAAGAAATAAAAGGGAACTGTGATGATATGGTTTGTAGTAATATAAATAATTTAGCTTTAGAGGAATAATATTATCTTTAATAACGGTAAACTAAATATTAGTGAAATATTTGATACTATTAAGTATTATTCTTAAAATTGGCTCACGACAATATCTTTAAAAAGCTTAATTGTGTATGTAAATTTGATTAACGATAACTTAACATGTATTGTTAATTTTTTTAAAAATATAATGAATTATAATACCCCTTATACTTATATTTTATCTATAATAAAATGTTGATACTTAAAAAAAGTTTATGATAATTTAATAAAATTATATAATGAAATAATAATAATAAAAATATTAAAAAATATTTACACTTTAGTTTAAAAATGTAGTTACATTAGATATTCAAACTAATGATTAAACACCTAAATTAATCATAGTTTAGCGTTTTTTAAGGATGTAGAGTATATCAATTTACTTTTGCACACCTTCTACAAATTCATAGATTCACTACTTTTATTTAAGTTTTGTTTGGTATATAGTAATGTAAAGCTTTTTACTTGTGAATAGGTGTTTGATTTCTTTATACTTTTTTATTAGAAAAGGCAAAAAATCAGGTTCTTTGACCGTTAAACTAAGTAAAGTTAAATATAGTATTTAAACAGAGAATCAAACTTTTCAAAAAATTTACACGCAAAAATTTGCCTCTTAAGTTATAAAAGACACAGCATTTATTCAAGCCATACATAATTAGGTTTTTTAATTACTTTTTGACATATAATATTATCGCTACGTGCAGGAAAGGAGAGGATGACACGTGAGTGCCAAGTTTTCTCAGTACTAAACAGAAATTTAAATAAAATTTGTATAAAATTCGGGATTAAAACAACTTGCCGCGTGTACTTATTCGTGGGCCCCAATTTCACGAGAAGCAAAACTGACCAGTTAGGTCGAGCTTAGGCAGAGCAAAACCAATTCTTTCTTTTCTTTTACCCTCTTCGCTTCTTTCTTCACACTTCGGAGAGTGAGAGTGTGACTCAGCAATTCACACAAACAACGATTGGTTTGAGATTGAGTTGAAGTTGAACATTCAAATTAAAAGCATTGAGAATCATCGATAATCACCAATCACTTCCTCCAATGGATTTCTCATCTTCTCTCCCTCCTACTCTGCACCTCGCCATGGCGGCGTTGCTCGGAGCCTCATTCATGGCCATCTCCGCCTTCTACATCCATCGCCGCACCGTCGACCACGTACTCCACCGTCTCGTCGAAATCCGCCGCGCACCTCTCGACGCCGATGAAGACGGCGGCGGCGACGACGACGACGATCGAAGCAGGTTCGGCCTTGACGAAGGAGAGTCGGAAACGGAAACCGGTCTCAGAAACTATCACGGAACTTCGTCGAGGTCCGTAGACGAGAACTCAAACGTACTTCAGAGCTATAGGATTTCGTCTTCTATGCCGAACGTCGTTTCCGCAACGGAATGGTTCCAAGAGGACCCTAGGAATCGTGCTTCGTCACTCGATAATCTCGAATTCGTTCCTTTGGGGCTTCCGTCTCTTCGAACGGGTTTGACTACCGGTGTGAACTTGGTTTTTTTTTTTTTTTTTTTTTTTTTTTTTTTTTTTTTCTCTCTCTTCAACGTCATAAAACTTTATTGGAGGATGTTCAGTTTTTGTTATTTTATTTTGTTTTGCTTAAGCAGTGTTTCTGTGCTTTGGTTTTTGTAGGAGAGAATGCTCAGTTATCGTGCTCCTATAAGAGAATAGCTTCTGTTGGTAGAATTAAGACCCCGAGATCACCGGGGCGTAACACATTCGAAAGCGCAGATGATTCTGATGAGGAGGGAACACAGCTTGCTGATGACACTCGCATCCCTTTCTCAAGTTCTTACGTGAGACTAATGATATCTTATTTGTTGGAATCCTGAATGCTGTTTAAAACTTTGTTGATTATTTTCTTTCTCTTTATCCAGTTATCAGGGGACAAGTTGAGAAACATGCTTGCATGGTTTCACTATTTTTACTCAATACTTACCTTTATACTGGGATTCAAATGATGGGATATTATTTAACTTTAAGGTCTAGAGTTGATGTTTTTATTTGTGAATATGGTAATTTGATGGTTCACAATTCATAGGATATAAACTTGTGAGGCTGCTTTTCTGATTTGATAATTTAGAAAGTAGAATGTATTGGTGTTTATGGTGCATGGTCATCAATTATTTTTGCCTCCTAATCCTTGCTTGCTTTTGGTGTGTTAATATTCATTCTACCTTTATTTCTATACCTGTCTTTAGTGATTCATGATGTTGCAGGGAATGAATTCAAACATGTGCAGTTTGTCTGGTGTTCCATTCAGAGTGGATGATGCAAACTGTGCAAAAACTCAGATGTATGGAGAGGTTTCAAAGGAAGCAAAAGCTGGTTCAGATATGAACGGTGGTGGAATGACAGATTCAACTTCAGTACATGTAGCTGGGGATGACCTTGTGTTTGTCAATAATGTCTTGCCTGCAAGAAGCATAGGGCATGGTACTTCATGTTCCTATTGTAAATCTATACTGTTCTTCTAATTGCTTCGATACTCTTTCATGTTAAATAATATTAGTATCATATCCCTGCATGATATGTATCATATTTTTATCCTCCTTTTTGATATCCACATTTGACTGTGTTTACCCCGAGTCTTGTCTTTTACTATATCAAACATTTTTTTTTCGTTCATTGTATAATATGAAGATTTAAAAAGCCTGTATTTAATGCATCCTTTTCTTTACAAAATATGTTCAGAGACAACAAATATAGAAGAAGAGGAAGTATGCAAAATGATTCGAGAATGCTTAGATTTGCGTAAGAAATATGTTTACAAGGAAAATGTTGTTCCATGGAAGGCTGAACCTGTGGCAGCTAACTCTGACCCGTATCACTTTGAACCAGTTGAAGCAACAGCAGTAAGTTTTTTGCTTCTCTGTTACTTAATGATTAGTTGATCGTATATTTTCTGCAGCATGTGAAATCTGCTTTAGTTATTAAAAGTCAGTTTTGTTCTGAAGTGTTTGGTTTATATTGTATATTGCTCTGAAGCATTTCGTTGATATTGTTATAACTGGCTTTGTGGTGTTGCAAACAGCACCACTTTAGGATGGAAGATGGAGTAATACGTGTTTTTGCAAATAAAACTGGTAAGCTCAGAGTGATAACAACAGGATAATGCATTGATTATTTCTCAGTTGTCTTTATTTTGTTTGGTGTTTAGTTTGTTAAATATGAAAACTTAGTTTTGTGAAATTGTGCGCAGACACTGAAGAGCTCTTCCCTGTTGCAAGCTCAACCAGATTTTTTACTGATATGCATTACATTCTTAAAGTTATGTCAATTGGGAATGTTCGCTCTGCATGCTACCATAGGCTACGATTTCTTGAGGAAGTATGTTTTCACAAACTTCTGTATATACAGTTTCTTTGTGTTTACTTGCTGCATTTGTTTATAACTTGCATCTGATCATTATACAGAAATTCCGCCTTCATCTATTACTAAATGCAGATAGGGAGTTTTTGGCCCAGAAAAGTGCGCCACACCGGGATTTTTACAATATTCGAAAAGTTGATACACATATTCATCATTCTGCTTGCATGAATCAGAAGCATCTCCTTCGCTTCATCAAGTCAAAATTAAGGAAAGAACCTGACGAGGTGAAAATCTAATTTGGGTTGTAGGCTGTTTTCCCTTTCCCTTTCCCTTTTGCCTTTTTATTTTTCAGATTACTAGTTCTTATTTTTACTATTAGTATTAACCAATGTTAACAGGTTGTTATCTTTAGAGATGGAAAGTATATGACACTTAAGGAGGTTTTTGAGAGTTTGGATTTGAATGGGTATGCATTTTTTTCTTTATTTTTTCCATCTAGCTATTTGGAAAATGAGTTCTGATTATATTTATGTACTTGCATGTCTGCATGTTTTCTAACTAGTGCCAATTATGATGCAGATATGATCTGAATGTTGATTTGTTGGACGTCCATGCAGATAAGAGCACATTCCATAGATTTGACAAATTCAACCTAAAGTATAATCCTTGTGGACAGAGCAGACTCAGAGAGATATTTTTAAAGCAGGATAATCTTATCCAGGGTTGGTTTCAAATTAGGAATGGTCCTTATATTTCTTTGAAGTTTATGCTTCTTGATTTCATATCAGCTTAAAGCAACTGATATTTACAGGAAGGTTTCTGGCTGAAGTAACAAGGCAAGTTTTGTCAGATCTTGAAGCAAGCAAATATCAGGTTACTTATCCAGTGATATGTCTTTTCCTATTGATATTTCATACGTTTATTCATTTCTATGTATAAATAAAATTTTACAGATGGCTGAGTATAGGATCTCTGTTTATGGAAGAAAACAGAGTGAATGGGATCAGCTGGCTAGTTGGTTTGTCAACAATGCTCTTTATAGTAAGAATGCTGTATGGCTGATCCAGGTAGTGTTACTCTGGCTTCCATTCTTACACGATGTTCAATCTTCCACTCTTTTAGGCTTAGTCTGCTGGTCAGCCATTGGGCCCAGATGTGGTCCATTATGGCCTCATGAGTAAAGTCTGTCAACTTTTGTTTGTGTCTTACAAGTGTTTGGCCCATCTCTCCTAGTGGTATGCTATTTTTACCAAGACTAGTTTACAATAACTTCTTGTAAGTTCATGGTAAAGTTGTCTCTCTTATGACCAAGGTAGTCAGAATCAAGATCCTACTTAGGATGGAAAGGAGGAAAACACGTAAATATAAATATAAAATTATATTTCAATAAGTATATATACATATAAAATATCATAAATAAGTAAAGTAACCTTAAAATCATAAATAACATTTAATAAAATTTAATTAGAAATATGTAATAACCCATAAAAATTATAACTCTAAAAATGCAATTTTATTCATTAATTTAAATAATATTAGTTTTGATAAAAAAGAAAAAGAAAAGCATTTTTCTACAATACCTATGTCTAAGCTATTCACATGGCCCAACGAGAGGGGGCTTGTATTTAAACACCTAGTACCTATTTGCGAGACAAACTCATAGGCATAGCGACCAACACAGGAGCAACTCAAACTTGCAGGTACAACAACTAACACCAAAAAAATAAAGGTAGAGAAGAGAACTCAGTATCCATCTAGTCACACTTACATGCAAAGTAAGCAACACATCTGAACCAACCCACTATTCAATAACTCCCAAGTCGTGGTTGCATCTCAAAATGGAGAAAGAGGCGATTTAAAGGAGAAAAGAGTTGAGAACAGACTCACAATGCCGACGATGAAGAGAAATGCAGTCACAGGTTGTAGAGAGGTGAGATTGAAGAGAAGTGTCGGAAAAACCCCTAAACACTCGGGTTATATAAGTCAGGCCAAAATAAAATAGGCAGGTCAAATGAGTTCAGTCAGGTTTTGTGAAAAAATGGGTTCAAAATTAACTTGCCCAGGAACGCACAATATCATGAGGAAGATCATGCTATCCCACTGGAATGAGCTGCCTAGGATTGGGATTGCTTCACCGGCTACAGATCGTAAATCGTATGATCTTATGTGCTAAATCACGATTTTGACTACCATGCTTATGACACTAACCGCCATTTTCTTAGTGAATTCTTGAAGGATTTTACAACTTGAGTAGGTCCTCCCTATCTTTGAGTTAACATTATGTCTTTGGAATTTCATGCTGGCAAGTTCACTTATACATGATAGAAACACTTACATATATAACTGAACAAGTAATACAATTTATTTTACAAGCAAACAAAGTTAATTTGGTTTGGATTGTGAGAATCAACATTCATAGCAATTTTATGTATATTCCTTTTGATTTGATTATATGATGTTCCTTATTTGGTAGATTTAATTTAGAATTTTGTTGGGTGCTTTGATTGCTTTCCCTTGCATCTTCTTTTAATTTCGAATTATTATATTGTTCATTGATTATGATCTTGTTTTGTGAACTTATATTGTCACAGTTACCACGGTTATACAATGTGTACAAGAACATGGGAATTGTTACCTCCTTTCAGAATATTCTGGATAATGTGTTTATTCCTCTATTTGAAGTCACAGTAGATCCAAATTCTCATCCTCAATTACATTTGTTTTTGATGCAGGTTAGCCAATATGCATTTTGTGTGTGTGTGTGTGTGTGAACGTGTGCTCATATTTTTGTTTGCTTGTTTGTATTTAGTTGTATGGTTACAAAATTTCCCATATGTAACATTTTAGCGTCAATAATTATGTCCTGGTGTTGCTGTTATGCTGTGCCTCTGCCAATAGGTACATGAGTGATGAGACAACTTTTATGCTGTAGCTGTTATAATTCTGCTTTCAAAAGTTTTACTCTGTTGTAGGATCTGATCTTCATCCTTCAATTATATTTATTCCAAATTCTGTTAGTTATCTTGTAATACTGCTCTTTTTTACTCATGATGAGAATTCTTAATATTCAATTTAAATTATCATTGAATATAGTTGAACCCACATGTCTAATCAAATGAATTTCTGCTTTTGTTGCAAGTGCTTTTTAAGAAACTCAATGCACTGTTGCTTTATACTAACAAAGGGATGTATCTACTGTACATAGATTTTTGTATCACAGTATTTTAAGATTGTCTTGGTAGTAGAGAATGAAGATGAGGTCTGAGATGCATTAACACTCAAATCTGTTTCTTATCTCAACAACATTATTGCTAGAATTCTCTGGATGTGTGAACTTCGATTGTTGCTGATTATTAAAACTGATAGATGAAGAATAAATACTTATTTTCGATGCTGTTTTATTATTGGTTGTTAAAAAAAATGAACAAAAGAAACTAATTATGTTGTTCTGGTTTAAGGGTAATATGTTGAGCTTCTTCTGCATACAGGTGGTGGGATTTGATCTTGTAGATGATGAAAGTAAACCTGAAAGGCGTCCAACTAAGCACATGCCTTCACCATCTGAGTGGACAAATGAATTCAATCCAGCATACTCTTATTACCTTTATTACTGCTATGCAAATTTGTACACTCTCAACAAGGTTTATGTAGTTCCTCTTTGTAGAGCTCAAGAGTTAACAACCAATGGCCTTCCATATTTTTTTTATTTATTTTTTTCATTTTTGCTTTCAATTCTGAGGCCAATCATGCCTCACTTTTTAAGTTTAGTTGGGGTTGAGTGACTTTCGTTTCTAATTTTGGTGGGGCGGGGGTGGAGTTGAGGTCTTCAAGCACAGCATTGAAAATTTAAACGAAATAGGAAAAATGGGAGCAAGAATAGATTCACAGAAAAAATCCTGGTTATAAACAATATTAATATATCACTGTCTGTTGGTTTCAGCTGCGTGAATCTAAAGGAATGACCACAATAAAGTTGCGGCCTCATTGCGGAGAGGTTGTTTTCCATGTCTAGCAATATTGTTTAATTCTTTATGTTAATTGAGGTAGTTATAATCAATCTACTTGTGCAGGCTGGTGATAGTGATCATTTGGCTGCTGCCTTCCTCCTATGCCATAACATTTCTCATGGGATTAATTTACGTAAAACTCCAGTTTTGCAGTATTTGTATTACCTTGCACAGGTTAGCCCTCTGGAATATCCATTTGCTCAACCTAGTTATTCTACTAAAGTTTAGACCATAATAACATTACAGATCTTGTAATATAGTGAGAAATTAAAGTAGAGATCATATTCTTTCCCAATACTTTTGATCATTTTCTCTCTATCCAGATAATTTGTGATAATATATTCATACCATTCTGTTGTCACTGTAGGTTGGATTAGCTATGTCACCGCTTAGCAATAATTCCCTTTTCTTGGACTATCATCGCAATCCATTGCCCATGTTTTTCCAGCGAGGTCTAAATGTCTCTCTCTCTACGGATGATCCATTGCAAATTCATTTGACCAAAGAGCCACTGCTAGAAGAATACAGTGTTGCAGCAAAGGTTTAGCTTCTTCCTCCTAACCTCCTTAAATTTAAGTTGGTTAAACACTGTTTTGTCTTTACTAGGGATCATATATTTTACTTATACACATGCACTGCAGGTGTGGAAGCTCTCTGCCTGTGACCTGTGTGAGATAGCTAGAAATTCTGTCTACCAATCTGGATTTTCACACCAAGCCAAGGTAAGCAAACGACGTAGGAATTTTATGTTTTAGCTCATCTGTACTCAGGCTCTGTAAAGGTATGCTGCACATTATTAAACTTGAAAGCACAGCGGGAGAACTTGAGATCGTTGGTGTGAACTTGCCTAATATGAAGAGTTGGTTTCATTTTTTAGGTGTTAGGTTAGGTCTTATTTTGGTATATCAGTTAAGTGATTTCAGTATCCTCTAAATCTTGTTTACTTAGTTCGTTTCTAATTTATGAATGTATTCTCGGTTCACGTTAGTATAATAAATTTTTTACCTCCTTTCACAGTTACACTGGCTTGGGAATAAATATTTCTTGAGAGGTTCTGAAGGAAATGATATTCATAAGTCAAATGTTCCCAATCTGAGGATTTCCTTCCGATATGAGGTGAAAAAAATCATATTTACGCGGAGTTTTATTTGTATTCATTTTTCATGATTAACATTCTTATATTTAATTATTTCTTGAGTACGATTATTGGTGTTTATGCAGACATGGAAAGAGGAGATGCAGTATATTTACGCTGGTCAAGCTACCTTTCCTGAAGATGTAGACCCATGAAACAAACCAAGTGAAATTCACGATTCACCCCGTGTGATCTATGACGCTAACGCAGTTACTTTGATCAATGTTCTTTTGAGAAGCAGCGGCTTTGTCAGTGACAGGTTATTCTAACGTTTAAGCAACGGTTTCTAATCATAACATGCCATCTTGCCAGTCTTGGTTCGTATTTACCCCAAATAATAATTAAAAGATCTACTGTGGCAAGTGCATTTGCATTCGTACTTTTACGTTAGCAGGAACTCTTCTTTAGTTAGTTATTTATTAGAAGTAACTATTTAATTATTATAATACAATTCTGATCTTCACGAATATGAATGAATACATTGTATGATCCTTGTAACATAAATATGATATGCAGAATGAAATATGCTCTTGAAACTGTTTTATTTAAATTCTCGAGTCTACTCGTTGCGAAACAAAATCGCTACTCTGCTGTCCATTTACTGTCATTTACATTAGGCAGACAAAGAGAGTTTGAGTAAAATATATATCGTTGACGCTTTGATTAACCCTTCTAAAGTCACGAAGGCACTATTCATTTCTTTAATTAATGGTATTTCTTTGCTCGAGACTGTTCGTTCTTAGTGCTTAATATCTGGAGTTGTCTATTTAGTTCACTAGTAGCGCGCCTAAAATGTTTGGGGTTACCATGTGCGTTATTTTATTTTTATGAAAGGAATGTGGAATTTTAAAATGTAACAAGAATATGATAAATTTGTTAAAATTTAATGGATTTTTTTTTGTTTTTTTATCATTTAAAAAATAATAATTTATCATAGTATAGTTAGTTGTACATAGATCATTATTTTTGCTTACAGTTATAGAGTTCTTACATAACTTTTTCAAAAGTAAAATAAAATAAAATTTACGTTGCTAAAAGTCAATTTTTAGTACAAATTAATTTTATTTTCAGAAGTAAAATCTCAATACATACGTCTTATATTTAAATGTTATTAAATAAAATTAAAATAATTAATTCATTTACACTTTATAAATAAATTTATATAATTTAACAAAACATATATCATAATAAGGCTTCACATAATTAAGAAATAATTTTAAGAGTTGTTTTGCTAAGTAAACAATTTGTAGACAATAATATATGATAAATTAATAAATATGTTATGCATTACACATATTTGTTTTTATATTTTTTATTAAATTAGTTTTTAGTAAAATAAATTAAAATAATTATAATTTAAATATAAATAAATATATGATAATAACATTTTATTATATTAAATAATATCAAATGTAATTATATTGAAGAAGAATATAACATTATCTGTATATTTTATATATTTTTTAATCTTTTACAATAATTATAACTTTTATTCTTTTTGTCATATACAAATATAATTAAACATAATTTAATAATTATTTTTTACTTTCTTTATTGTTATGTATCGTACTTTTATTAAAAATTATTTGTTTCAATTATCGACTCTCCTAAATGTATGATAAAGATTTCTAATGTAAGATTGATGTTTCTAAGTAGCACAATGAATATTCCTTTTTTGAGGTGCAAGCAATGGTGGAGAAATTCATTAAAATTTAAATTATTCAAAAATTTTATTAGATACATAAGTTGTTTAATGATTTTATTATTTGTTTTATCAATTTTTTTAGAGCTTCTATAGTATTTTGTTAGTCCTTCAATCTTGTCAATGCTGTAATTATTAATAACACAATTAAAATAAGTATAATTCTTTTTGGAAGATTTTTTTCATCTCATATTTGTTGTTGAAAATTTAGATGTGATCTCAACAATTGTTTGAGTAAATTGACTTGAAATTCTTATCCTTGTTGAAATGTCCTTTTTTTTTTTTTACTAATTGTTTGTATGTTTCCATCTTTGACCTACATGAGCCATTTATTAAATTTATGTGTCAAGCAATTTGCCTTACTTGAAGAGAAGATGTTCATAGTTCTCATACTTTTGGATAATATATAAATTTTGTAATAATCTCACAAATAAGACATACTAATATAGGTTTGAATTATATCTTGTCTTTATCCTTTTGCTATTATGTAACACCTCAAATTTAATTTTAATTTAATAAGGATTTCACAAATTCAAATAACTAATTTTCATAAAATACTTCAAAATAAGGGAAGGGTTACAAATTAATATCAAATGACTGTTACAAAACTAGTTTAGCTACAATAAATTTTAAAATGAAAACTAAGTCCTATAGCAGTCCATCTATCCCTTCACTGAGTCCGGTGCTAATCGTCTTGATATCCTGAAAAATGAATGTAAGGGTGAGTACTCTATACTACCCAAAATACACATTCAACATAGAGTCTCACCTCTAGAACCTTCCCAATACATTCAACATACACAATCACAGGCATCAATTCACATCCATAAGTACAAAACACAAATCCATGCATACATATACCAGCCTCACTCACTATAGTACTGTGATAACAGATTTACATTATGAATGGTCACCGATTACCCCCGCCTCACGGATACCACATGGGCAGTCACGGGTCGCTCAGTAAGGATAGTGGTCAGAGGTCTAGTCAGGAAGAGAGTGTGTGGCCTGTGGTGCACCCGTTCCACAGTCGGTGTCACCACCACTCCTTTTTTCCCAAGGTATTTCTACTGTGCTCATCTCCTACATTCCCAGTGTATCGTTGAACCATTCACAGCACATTACAACGGCGCTAATACGCCCATTCACGCATGCAATAATCATGCTTACACACGTCACTTAGCCCACATTCATTTCACATTATACGGCACATAGCCAATATTCATCTATATTACACAACATTTATATACAATTCACATCCATCAAATTCAGGTCAACACACACAATATTCACATATCACGGCACATGGTCCACATTTCATTTCTCAATCAATTTCCTACCCACTAACTTAGCCACAACACCATATTCAGCAAAATAACAACAATTCATGCACAAAAGAGTAGGATAGAGCCCCCTTTACCTTGGATTGACGTCCCACGCGCTAAATCCACCAAGAAGTGCTCCCCCTCACGGATTTCGTCCTAAACATATGGACAAACTCCATGAGAACCCACGGGAAACGTGAAAACAGAGAAATAGGATGAAAAACTGAAACCCTAACCATTAAAACTTACCTCCAAGCGTTCCCCACACAGATTCAACATTCAATCAAGCTCCTGAACAGCTTTAGAGGTAATTAATCGGTGGAATAGGGCTTTGAGAACGAGAGGATCAAAGGAATTTCGAAGGAAGAGGGAGAAATAACTCTTCCCGAACCCTAACCTCCTTTAAATCATTTTCTAGTCGCGACACTCTCGCTGCAGTGAAGTACAGCGAGGGGACTTCGCTGCAGGGACACGCCCTTTCGCTACAGCGAAAAAACCAGAGAAAACTACACTCTGGTTTCTGCAGAATCTCGCTATAGCGAGACTGTACCCAGAAATACACCTCAAACTGTCGCTCTGTCGCTACAACGAGAAGGCGACAGTTCTGGTCCTTCCTCCCAGGGCCCTCTCGCTACAGCGAGAATCCTCTCGTTGCACTGAGAACAGCCTAGTGTTACGCCCTGCACTTAGGCACTTAGCCCATTTCCAACCTATCTAGTCATACATACACATATAGACACACATCCTTGTACTTAATACATATAAAATATCATTTTCAAATAAATCAACACACACACACACACAGATATATATATATATATATATATATATATATATATATATATATAAGAATAATAATAATTAATATTACCAAAATTCGGGACGTTACATATTATGATTAATATTTGTCTAATATAATGTCCTTCCCCCAATAACTTTGTTGTATTGTTAGAATATTTGTAACCAAACCTATAAGAGCTTCAAAAATCTATTTATTTATCATCGATGTTTCCTCTCAAACAATAAGATGTGTTTAGATTGTTAATTATGCAAGCTAGATGTTTTACTTAATCGAGCATGTACTATTTTAAAAAATATCCAATAGTATGTAAAATCTACTATGAATTGTTCTGTTACTTAGATACTCATAAAATTTAAAAGTATAGATAAATGAAATATAAATAAAATTACACATAATGATTTATTATTATTCATTAAAATGTGAAAATTATAAATTTGTAAAGCATATTTTTATTTTTTAATCAAAAATAAAAAAATTATTTTGATTATGCTAATATTAGAATTAAGTATTTATTTTCATCAATTAACATACATGTATAAAATTGATAAGGTAAATAATTTTTTCTGTCTTATTTTATTAAATATATGGAATATTTATAAGTTTTATAAATAATCTATTTTTTATTGTAGTTATTAATGATAAATTTAAATTATATCAATATGTCGCAACCAGACAATCGCAACAGTACGACAAAAAATACTTTTTTACAAAAAATCAGTAGAGTCGCCACCAAAGTTTATCAAAGAAAATTTTGGAAAAACTTAAAATTTTGATCTTTGAAATAAAAAATGGATTCAGAAGTCATTTACGTATAGGAAAGGTGTTAGCATCCTACAACATTCGTTTAAATAACTGTTATGTGCAAATTTATTAATTTTGAAAAGCATTTATTTAATCCCTAAAAAACATAAATATTTCTATTTTATTGTTTAAGAAAGAAGATTTATTTATTAAAAATATTAAGTTATCTTAAAAAAAATATTTTTTATAAATTATTGACTCGACGAATATTATTCTATTCTTACGTATCTGCGGAGTGTAATATAGAACTCAAAATCACGTAATTTTATAAAAATAATAGAATTATTTTATTAATTTATAAGATTTTAAAAGAACTTGTTTCAAAATTTATCATATTTTCTTAGAAAAATAAAATAAAAAATGTTTAGATTTTTGTGGAGACAAGATAGCGCAACTATATATGTTGTGCATGTTATACATAAATGTTTAGTATTGAAGAAATTTAAGGTATCGTAAGCTATACATAAATATCTCATCACTTATCCGTCGACTAAAGACAATATAAATCATACATCTATGTCGCAGAACATTTTATTAAAATTTAGTAAAAATATTTTCTTAAAGTTGGAAACATAATTTAAAATTTTTTAAATATGAAATTAATTTTATTTAATAAAAAAATGTTTAAAGAAAACATATTAATATATTTAAATTGATTAGTAAAGATAGATGTTTATTTGAGGAAATTAAAAAATATTTTTAACAAGTTTGTATTGCGTGAGACCAAGATAACGTTAATATACAAAAGCTCAACGATTTAAAACGTACAAAAGTAGAGATGTTGCACGATGACGTTACAAATCGTTAAATTAAATTAGTTAATAAATTAATTTCTTAATTATTTATTGATTAAGGGTAATTTTTTAAAAAAAAAAGTATATTTAGATTAATTAATTTATAAATTACTGTGTAAACAAAATTATTATTGTCTTTAACTTAATTAATAAATTGATCATTTGCTGATTAAAATAAAATATTTGAAAGGATATAGTTTAGAAAGGTAAAATGATTAGTAAAATATTATTTAATTTAACAAATTTATATTGCATGAAGTTAATAGTAACATAGGTACACATTAACGTCAATGATTTATAA